CAGACCAAGTTCAGCGAGGAGCAGATCAAAGTCTGGTTTTCTGCTCAGAGGCTCAAACACGGAGTCAGCTGGACGCCGGAGGAGGTGGGTGCTTCAGCAGACGCTCACACACACACGCAGTTAAACTTCCCGTCACGTCTGACGTTGTTCCGGTTACCACGCGAGAGTCTAATTTGATCAGATATCCCGAGTTTGTGTGTGAGCAGCCTGAAGGACGAGTCTCAGCAGGTCCCACAGCTCTGAAAGGCCACCAGAGGCTTCAAACTGAAAGTGGATTTTGCAGCAATTTGTTTCAACGTGTCGCTGATGCTGCGTCTCCGGGTCCATCTGCAGTCAGCGTCAGCGACACGTTTACTTCACAGTTTACAGATGAATCCTGGTAAAAGGAAGAATCTGCTCCTATGTCAGATTTACTCTCAGAGAAAAACATCAGGAAACATTATTGTGCTGTTGAGTGTCACACTGTGAGTAGAAACTACATCATTAACTTTTGTTTTTAAAGACTTCTTCCTGGGTCATTAAAAAAAGTGCTTGAGCACAAACATGGTCCAGGTAAGAACTGCAGTTAATGAGTGTTTATTAACTGCTGCCAGACTCGTCAGGTCGCTTTATAAAACAGGTTTTTATAGGCCGTCACCGCCTCACTGATCACGTGACTCCCGGTCAGATTTTGTTGTGGCTGATGATGATTGTGGTTGTTCAGTTTCCTGACAGGAAGTCGTTCTGGTTGTTTCGTAGATGTAGAATAAGTCTGTGGCTCTGAGGAAGCCTGAGGCAGAAACATCTTCACTGCAGCATCTAAACAATAACTCCCACAACTTTAATAACTTTTGAAAGTCGGTGATGTCACACCTTACCTTTGACCTTCTACTGCTCCTCTCTGCAGGTGGAGGAGGCGCGGAGGAAGAAGTTTAACGGCACAGTGCAGACCATCCCTCAGACCATCACCGTCATCCCCGCTAACATCGCCGCCACCACGAACGGCCTGCAGAACATCTTCCAGACGTGTCAGATCGTCGGTCAGCCGGGCCTCGTCCTCACTCAGGTGGCCGGGAACAGCGGCGCGGTCCCCGTCGCCTCTCCCATCACGCTGACGGTCGCGGGCGTCCCCGGCAGCCAGCCCAAAGCCGCCGAGCCGTCCACGTCCGAATCGAACGCCGAGATGTCGTCTTCGTCGGCCGGCGTGTCGCTCGGTCTGGACTCGACCACAAGCAAGCCGAAGAAGTCCAAAGAGCAGCTGGCAGAGCTGAAGGCGAGCTACAGCCGGCGGCAGTTCGCCACCGAGGCGGAGATCTCGCGCCTCATGCAGGTCACCAAACTCTCCAAGCGAGCGATAAAGAAGTGGTTCAGCGACACGCGCTACAACCAGAGGAACTCCAAGGACCACCACAGCCTGCTGCTGACGCAGGCCACGCCTGGCAGAGCCGCGGCCGGCGGCGGCCGAGGAGGAAGGAGCAGCGGCGGTAGCATCAGCATCAACGATAGCAACAACAGCGACAACACCTCCACCATCGTCATCGACTCCAGCGACGACGCCAGCGACTCCTCACCAACCTCGGCCGGCGCTCCGGGCTCAGCCGGGTCCTCCAGCGACCTCCGCATTAAATTCCGCCACGCCTTCCCCGACTTCACGCCGCAGAAGTTCAAGGAAAAGACTCCGGAGCAGCTGCTCGTGCTGGAGGCCAGCTTCCAGAAGTCGGACACGCCCTCAGACGAGGAGCTGAGCCGTCTGCGGGCGGAGACGAAGCTGACGAGGCGCGAGGTAGACGCCTGGTTCACGGAGAGGAGGAAAATGCCGTCGGCAGGTCAGTCGAAGGACAGCGACGCAGAGGGAGACGACGAGAAGGCGAAACCGGCCGCCGCGCCTTCGCCCTCGGCTCAGGAACGACAGGGCACGCCGCCCTTCAGCAGGAAGTTGGTGAAGAAGACGCCGGAGCAGCTACACATCCTGAAGAAGGCCTTCGTCCACTCGCAGTGGCCGACGTCCGAGGAGTACGACCAGATGGCGAAGGAGAGCGGGCTGCCGAGGACGTACATCGTGAACTGGTTCGGAGACACGCGCTACGCCTGCAAGAACAGCAACCTGAAGTGGTACTACCTCTACCAGAGCGGGAAGGTGCGCACGCAGGAAACCTTTTTTGTGATGTAACACAAACGCCATGCTTCATCTCCTGGTAACATCTGACGGTTTTTTTTCTTGTTCCAGGTGGACGAGGCGTTGAACGGCGGCGCTAAGAGCCAGAAGAAGTCAAGGAAGCGTTTCCGTGGTTGGTCCAGGAGGACGCGCCGGCCGTATCCCTGCAAGCGCTCTCCACAGGGCGGCGACGGTGCCATCAAGGTGCGTTTTTAGTAAAAAAAAAAAGAAAGAAATTCCTACTCGGCTGGCCATCGTTGGGTGAGAGGCAACAGCCTGTCTCTGAACTGCTGGAGAGCAGCTGGAGAACTCCAGTATTCAGCTGGACTTTAGCAGGTCGTCTGCCAACCAGGTCGCTGGTTCGATCCCCGGATCGTCCAGCCTCTCCTGGACTCATTGTGTAGCAAATGTGAGGATTATAAGTGACTGACTGAAGGTGATCTTTGTTCCTCCTGCAGGTGAAGTCCGGTAAGGCTTTTCTGAAGGAGTACTACCTCAAGCACCGAGCCCTGAGCGAGAAGGACCTGGACGAGCTGGTGGCAAAGTCCAGCATGAGCTACGAGCAGGTCAGAGACTGGTTCTCCGAGACCGCCAGGAGGGCGGAGGAGGGCGCGGAGCTCTTCAGCGACGAGGAGGCGGAGGGGGAGGAAGAGGACGAGGAAGAGGAGGAGGAGGCGACGGCGGCAGAGCACGCAGACAGCGAGGGAGAGATGGAGGTGAAAGAACAAGGAGAGGAGGCATCGGACGACGACTGCGTGGAGGAAGACGAGAAGGACGCAGAAGAGGAGGAGGAGGATGAAGAGATCCGGGAGGGATCTGAAGGTTTCAGCCAATCACAGCCTCAGGCAGAAGAGCAGACGTGAGCAGACAGGTGAGCGATGTTTTCAGTTTTATTCCTTTTTTATTTCCAGAGATTCAGCAGAAACTAAAACCAGGAAAATTACTGCACAGTTTGCAGACGCGTGAGTCGACGAGCAGGTAGAAGCAGTTTGTTTCATAAAACCTTTTGTTCTTCACTCACGCTCAGTCGACCCAACTACAGATAAGAACCACAGCCTGTCAGCACAGGAGGAGCTGCCTGATATTACAGCTCCTGATTGGTTGAATCTGCTCTCTGCAGGGACATGTGCTGCAGTTCTGCTTCTACCAGCTTAGCCTCCTGACTTCAAATAGACTGAACTTTATTCATATAATAGTCGTTTACAGGAGACAGACTACATGGCCCGGTCTTTGACACTGCAGCTGTGCCACAGATTTGATGTTTGCTCCACTTTGCAGTGGTTGTTCAGGAGATTTCCATGTTTCTGTTTGATTTCCGAGCTTTGAACTGAATCCAGTGCACAGTCAGTGTGTACAGCGCTGACCCTCCTGTGGGCCCCTGTAGTCAGTGCACAGTCAGTATGTACAGCGCTGACCCTCCTGTGGGCCC